GTGAAATGCCCTGAAAAGCCAATGGGAACTCAGAACAAAAACAGTCGAACTGCCTAAAGCGCGGGAAAACGCGGGCGACCAAGTCGTGATCGGTTTTAGTTTTGTATCCGATTGGTTGAGAGTGGTGCGAGTTTTCCGGACCAGTCACAGGGCGAATTAAAGCAAAACCAGTGTTATCTTAAATTACTTTCGACACTCCATTGAAAAATGCTCCAAAGTTATAACAAGTCAATCACTGGAAGCGCGGGAAAACGCGGGTAATCAAGTCAAAATTGGGTGTAGTTTTAATTCTGATTGGTAGAGAGGGTGTTGCGAGTTAATTTTTTTTTTGTGACCAATCACAGAGCTAGTTAAAGAAAAACAAAATCATTGGTTTCTTTCGATACTCAATTGAAAGTTGCGTTTTCTCTTTCAGCCTGCTCTATGGCATGTGTGGTTTAGGCCATCAGGCATCACTGGATTTCTCCGCTGTCTCGTTCTTTGTGCCTTTGGTTCCTTCTTGTTCGGTTGGCATGTGCACGAAAAGGCCATCCTGATGGTTATTGTTCCTCTCAGGTATAAAGTTCTATAAATGTTTTATTTACATCGTTGTAATGGTAGATCTATTTTGCAAATCACGCAGTGCTTTTCCAACCAAATTCCAATGATGAATTGGAAACCATTGCGCGTGAAAACCCGCGAAAATTTGCTTTGCTCCCAACTGTGGCTTCTTAGCTCAGTTGAAAGTAGCGCCATCGGTCTTCAGGGAGCGTAGGTTCGAATACTGAGGAAGCCTGAATTTCAAGCCTTACTTTAATTAATGGTATTCTAATCCATGTTTATCTCATTATTGTTATGCGTAGTCAGTATAAATTCGAAGAACTTGTCTCACAAGGCAGTTTGACTTCCCTGCTATACTCTCTGCTTAGAGATGGCTCCTCGTGAAATATAACGTGATTTTAGACGTCTTTGGTTTTTTTTTGTCTGTTTGTTTGTTAATTGGTTTTCAGCTTAATGGCTGTTGTTGAAAGACGACCAGCACGGGTTTTTTTATTGCTGAGCACAACAGGCCATCTCTCACTGTTTCCTTTGCTGTTCCAGTCACAAGGTAAAGGTGTTCCCCTTGTTCATACATAGAGGAATATACGACGGTTCGCTTGTAGTTTTGATCACTCAAATAAAACTAACAAAAGTCTCTCAAGTGAAATTTAATCCATGTTTATCTCCCGAAATGAAGGTTATTAGTCTATGTGAGCGAGGCTTTTGTATGAGTGACATAACATCAAAATGACATAAAATGGTGTTGTTTTTTTTTTATATTTCTTTTTTTCGGTTATAAAACTCCTATTCTATGGAACGTGTACTAAGCGGTTCACCTTTATTCAGCGGTCACTTTCATTCCCTTTGGGTGACCGCTTAATACAGGTTCGACTGAAATCTGATTATAATTGTTTCATTTGCTTTTCGCTTTCAGAAACTCCCATTAAAGTCTCTCTCATGCTGATGTTTACAATTTTCTCGTTCTACTCACTATGTCTTGTTCACTGGTAAGTGAAAACCTGTTTCACGCTTTTCAGTGTGATATGATAAAGAATAAGGAACTTGCAGATCAAATGTTCGTTCGGTTTCGAGTGCTTTATACGTGTCTTCAGTTAACTTTTACTATGTAAACAGCTTCTGAAAATACTTCAGTTTTTGAACAGTAAGTTCATGAAAGGAATAAAGCACCAAGAATTCTAATTTGTTGGAGATGAAGGATAATGATTAGGTTTATATATTTTTCTCTGTTTTCAGAATTTTTTGACAATGTGTTAAAGAAATTTATCGTGGGCTTAAGACACGCCCAAAGAATTTATTAATGTTTTTTTATTTATTTATTTATTTATTTATTTATATATTTATATGACATGTAGGTCTCGTTGCCCAGACACAGGAACGTTAGTATGTCTCGATTTACACTCAATATCGTGGGTAATGCTACAGTTTTCTACCGTAGTAATACCGCTCACAGGCGTTCATTGTGAACTGAATTTTCTCGCGCTCACTAAAATACAAACGGCGCATGGAGAGCTTGCGTTTGCGGGAAAAAAATTAAACGAGGTTTAAAGGTTGATTTGTATTGTTACATAATTTTACTGATTTGCATGGCACGGGTCGGATAAAAAGGTGAATAAGGTTTAGCCTTTCCGACGACGCAAACCGTCCATTCTCTCACACAATTTTATTTTACAGTAAAGCGCATGTTCGTCAACGTATAAGCCTGCGTATTTTGTGTTTTTATGTGTGCTTCAAGGTGATAAGAGGCAAAGTTGCTAACGGGAATATTAAATTCCATTACAAACCTCTCGCAGCTTCGTCTCTCATTTACACTGATCCTTCGCTGGAAGCTCAAAGTGCACACAAAAGCGCCAGTAATGCCGGCTTTCAACTATTGAAGAATCACGCAAAATTTGCGATACAATTAAACTTTCTGAAATCTTTATCTTTGTTTTCTTCAGTGGGGAATCTTCCGAAACGTCCATATCGGATCTGTTTAAATTACCCATTGTTGAGTGGTACGAAGCGTGTTACTTGTATGGTTTAGTTGTCTTGGAACTCTACTGCAGTGCCATTCATCCTTTTACTGTGCTTGCCGTCAAGCTGCCTTTTTTACCGCTCATGCTTACGTCAGTGTATTGTGCCGTGGGTGTGATTTGGGCGTGGATCTTATTTTACGTGGACACTCTGACGAGCTCGCTGATTAATAGGGCAGCGGTGTCAACTATAAGAGAAACTGTGGTTGGAAAACAGTCTGCCAAGAAGAAACAGTGAAATACCCCTTTGGACGAAGGTCAAGAGATTCTACAGATAAATTATAGTAGGCTAGTTTAAGAAAGTTTTTTGTCTCAAAACTTTGGGTTTTGAATCCCTTTCAAACTAAATTTTAATACGGTGTTCTGATAATCACTTTGGATTAGGATAAGATTGCTCGAAATATATGACTCCTAAATGTTATCTTGAACTCGCATGTCAAGTGTTCTTGTGACAAGCGTTCTTAGCTCTGAAAATCTTCAAACGGGTAAAATAGAAACCAGCACAGATTGCCTTAAGTCTTTTTTTTTCTCTGACGAATGTAGATGAAAGGCGAACGCATATTTGACATTCGAATAGGAAGAGATTGGGTCGAGACCACTCAAATAAAACTAGAAATAGTCCATAGGCTGGATTTCTTCTTGGCCTCTCGTCCCAGTCTTTTATCTTCCTTATCTCTTCAGGATCTCGCCTTAACTTCATTTCGCCTTATAGGCTTTCACTAAGTATTGAGAGAATATCGACATACTGCCAGAAACCTACAAACAAGAGCAAAAATAACACTTCCTGTCTACCTCTATGACCGAAATGATAGGGGAAGAACGTGTAATTAAAAATTTATAAAGATAAGACCCAAAAATTTGCGCGGGGGTAGAATATTAAGATGTCACAGTTTAGCTCTTACTTCCTATTGGGTCAAAGTCTAACTTAGGAACCACTGAGATTATGCCTCAGTCTTCTTCCCCTGCCATGTGTTCTCTGAAGTTAAGCATGTTGTACAGAGAAAGTATCTATTGTCGGGTACCCTTGTGGTATATATCTCCTCAAAAAGAAAGTTGGGAACCTCGAGATCCTATACTTTGGACGCATGCTCATGAAATTTAGCAGATTTACCAAACTAGGCATGAGTAACCTTAGGCAGTGTAAAATTGGTTTCACAGAATATTCAGTTTCGTGACCTGCTGATGAATCATTTCAACAGGAGGGCGCTTAGAAAAATTCTGTGCGTTGAAAACCTCTTTTGTTGTTGTTGTTTTTTCTTTTTTACATTTTTGAACAACTAACTCCTCATGTACTGCCTCAAATCTATCACGGAAAGAATGTTCAGAGGTTTTCTTGTGCCATCAAACCCTGCAGAGGCCTTTTGAGTCCTTCCACTTTTGAGGAAGGAGGGTATGCATCTGGTTATGGACCCACGTTTCAAACGAGTGAAACTGTAATTTGTTTAATCACAATTAGCATAAATTAATATTTTGCCGATACGCATTTGAGGACTGGTGTGAGGCAGGTGTGAGGTGCGTGGAGAGTTATGGGATCGTAGTTTGTAGTTTGAGGTCGTTAGTAGGGCGAGGAAATCTGCGGTCAGTCTTCACCGTTTAAATTTATTAAGTTTTTTTTTTTTTTTCCTGAAATATCGTCATGTTCAAATGAGCTTTTACTTAGGGTTGTACTCGCATCGAAAGCCGTAATCGTTGCCTTACGCATGTATCAAGCGTGTAATCGGAATTTAATAGGACGATATGAAGCTTTAACCGTAGTTTTTGTGCGCGGGACGAGAGAGAAGTAAAGGACTACTCACTGCCTCATTGTTTGTGTTCCAGACGGTATTTCCGTCACTTGGGACAAACAAAACAATACCTTATTTGTACACCGGTCGACAAGATCTGTTTAACACATTTGACATTAATCTCTCTCTGATATTGCATCTTGAATTATCTGAATAGAAGGTTTTATGCAAATAAAACTTTTTTAATTCCTAGAATAATCCCAATAAACTACATCTGTGTTGTTCGCGTCAATGAGAGATTTTTGTTGAAAACTCCGATTCAAAAGTTGTTTTCAATATGCAATTAACAGATTTTTTTTCGCCATATCGATAACTTCCGGAGGCTTATACCACAAGTAGGTTGTTTTGAATCTCCTTTAATGTTACCTCTTGGTCAAATTTTTACTCAATCGTCATTTTATGTTGAATAACAACCTTATCAAATATTGCATCTTTAATTAACTCAACAGACGGCTTTCTACAAATAATATTTTTCAATTTCTTGAATAAACCTTGCGAAAAACACCTGTATGGCTCTTATTAATTAGTAAACTTAAAAACCCGAATGTTATGGGTTTTAATGAAAACATCGATTCGAGTTTTTTTTCTTTCTTTTTTCAGAGTATTGAAATCCTCATATCACTTACTTGAGGAGGTTTGAACCGCGAATCGACTTCTTTAACTTGTTAAGTATAGTTTTTATTCGGGCCTTTTTTCAGCTCTGAACAATAATGAATTTTATCAATTCAATATACAATATACAATATAAATTTTTTTGTCTCTCAAAGCCTGTCTGCGAAAACACTTTTTTGGCTGATCCTAGTTTCTACGGGTTGAAACGATGGAAGAATAACAATCCATTTTGTATTGTTTTGGTTTCCTAGAAACGTCTTTTCCTGTCATGAGTGCATTGGTAAATATTGTCGCGACATTTGCGAAAAGTCAGAAACATATTCATCGCTGTTTTTCATGGATATTACACTCGCAAACTTCTACATTTTTGAATGATTTGAGCTGTTTCTGTACACTTTTTTTGAATATTCATGGTTTTTGAAACTTATAAGATTTAAGGGAAGGAGTAGGTTTCTGGATTTCTGCCTGTCATGATCGTTTCTAAGCAACAATGTATACAAAATAAATTTAAAATTCATTTCGCTATCTGAGTGGTTTGAATCCATACAATCTTTCCCCTCGAGACAACGAAATTGGTTTCAAGACGGGATTGCATAACGCCCGCATTTTCGAAAAGTCACGACATTTGACTGGCTATATTCGCGCCGATCTGACAAGTATCTGGTTTTGTTTCCTGAAAAGTTAGTCATCAACGACATTGCACATGATATCTGACAGTTTTCGTCACACGATTGTTAAGTGACATCTCGAGAAGAACTGCTCGAGGTATAGAGCGTCCTTTGCTTATCGAATCTTACCAAAGATTTGGTAAATATGAGGCAATAGCTTTCGTTTTTCTGGTGTCCATTTCGAACGCCGATTGTTTGGAATGTTTTCCCGCTTCTGTGCGTCATTCTCCCGCCAAATGTTACGGTAAACCATGGAACTCCATCTTGAGTAACTCTCTAATGTCTCGTGGCAAACATGATTGCTCATAAAATCCTCTCGACATTATCCTTGGTTTTCGCTAGCTATGGCAAAATAAGTTACCTATGTGGCGAAATGAATAGATTGCGTTCAGCCTTGGGCGAAAATTCCACATAAAAATCGAGATCAACGAGCGTATTTTAATATGGGATGTGGTGTATCGGTGGAAAATGGAGATGATTTGAGCGTAGCATTGGGAAAATCGGAAAAAGGTGAGTTAAATTTACTTGCGAATATTTTTTCTTATCATTTAACACTGGCGCATTTACAACAAAGTTAGACAGAGTTGTGTGATCTTCGTGAAGAGATAAGCTTGATCAACAGTACGCGAAAATTGTATCGCTACAGTGTAGCAGTATGTGATCTAACTTATACTTTTCAGACGGTTTTCCTAACAAATATTGCTTCATGTGTGTCACGCAGTGCTGTGGATATTTGAATCCGCATTATTTTATTACAATGACTTGCAGGATTAAGACAGCATTCTCAACATAATGGTTTTATTTACATTCCTTCTCCCTGTTTACGTTTTTTTTCTCCAATTTCTATCTCCATAGTGGATTTTTTTATTTTGCTTTCAGCTATACGTTCGGCGATCTTAATTCAGAAATGGTTCAGACGATATCAGGCTCGCATCGAAGCCCGACGAAGGTGTACTTGGAAGATTTTCCAAAGCGTCGAATATGCTGGTGAACAAGATCAGTTGAAGGTATAAGTCTGTCAAGTTTAAAATTTTATGAACGATCTGAAACCATTGCGATCGATTAGCCAAAGATTACTCGCAATTTTTTCATGCCTTTCCATCAAATCAAGTTAGTATTTGGCGATGAAAACATTCTCTTAAGTTCTATATCACCACAAACAAATTCTCGCCTACGCTCAAACTTAGCCACCTCGACATAAATTTTTCATTTGATGTTCATTCAGAGTTCCTCCCTCAAGGTGGTAAATTGAGACCGTGGTTTTTATTTACTTAGCGCTTTGCCAATTTGATATGACCATTAATAATCGCTGCATTTTAAGTTGTTAATAATTTAGTGAACTATTTTTTTCAGCTGTTTGAAGTGAGACAGACAAATGGGGTACATTAGTGAGAATGCTTAGTTTTAAATTTTAAAAAAGTCTGAGCCACTAAAGAATAATCTGAATGATTGCTTTTGATGCGTTTAATATTTCAAATTATACGTGATTGTATAAAGAACTCGTCTAAATACTTTGGAAATTGAAAATGCCGAGATCTTTGCAATAGTAGGAAATGGACTCAATTAGAAACTCATGTTGATTTCCATAGTTTATTTGAGTCATTACGATTTTAAATGGTTTTCTTGAGGGCTTCGATTATTTTTACTCTCAATAAATGGTTTCAGCAAAAGAAGCGCTTGAATTTTTATAGGGGCAAGTAAACAGAGATGGTCGTTTTAAGGCTTCTGCAAAGAAAAAAATTTCTTATACTATTTTTTTTTTATGACCCTATTTAATGAAGTCATAAATTCACATCAAGTTAAGGAAAAAGGGATTTTAGGGAGGCCTTTTTTTACATGGGCTGAGTTGATTTGTAGCCCAAGTTGAATAACTGAAGAGAATTGTTATAATATCCCCTTTACATGAACTCAGATTACCAGTCTGCACTAGCATATGGTCTACTTTAAGATTGAGCTGAGTCAATCTTTCTGCCAACACAAAACCTGGCAGTATTGGGTACAGGGTACCAAAAACACATCCACTTTAAAGAAAAACAAACAAAGTAGACTGAAACAGTTAATTTGGTAAAAATTTCAACCTGATTATTAAGTGTTTACATTAAGAAAAGAAAAAGTAAAAAGAATTTCATCCCTTCTCTCTGTGTTAATACAGCTCTCAACCAGGGTTATGCAACAAGCAGGGCTAGCCCAACATTAGTATCTTTTTCATGTAGATGCTTACAAACATTTGACCTCCCAGCCTAACCAGCCTCCCAACCCCTCCCAGGGTTATGCAACAAGCAGGGCTAGCTCAGCTTTAGTATTTTTTCATGTAAATGCTTACAAACATTTGACCTCAAAAGGGTTACCCATCACAGTGATTTCACTGAGGTTAAAAAGCAACCTGGGGTTGATATAGTGGTGCTAAGCAGGGTAGGTATTTTTTAATGTTATCAACTGAAAAGAGTGGTCTATCCAAGGGGAATTTTACTCCTCCATGACATTGGAAGTTTGAAAAACACTCCTAAGAGATTTGTCAGCATGGCACAAATATAATTAATTTCCAGCCCAAGAGGTGGGAATTCTAAATATGAAAATTAATAGAGATTGGGAATTTTTCCTTCCCAAAATATCATATATTTAGTAGTTAATTCTCCTTGCTGTCTGCCATACAATTCTTATAATGTTAGTATAGAGAATTTGGCATTGGATTTGTAAAAAAAATTAGCCTTACTTACTTACTTCCTAAGGAGATGATTTGGAGTGGTTAGGGGAGGGGGGAGGAATAAAATCACATTTCCTGAGTGGGAGAATGCACTGAATAGGCCATTTTACAGTTGTAATTAGTTGCCAAGCCTTTGATTTGGAGTGAGGCTGAAGTTGACAATGTTATGATAGAGACCAGTATCTAGTTAACATGACAACAAAGTAATTTAAACTTAAAAAGCAGCAAGATTTGTATCAAAACAAGGTCACCCCTAGCCTCACTCCCGTGGAAAGACATGGCAACCAAGAACGCAACTGTAAAATGGACTTTAAGACCATCAGAGTTAACACTGGTTAAGGCTGTCATTTTAACTTTTAACATATATGCTATTTGTTTTATTTCTCAGCTATTCAACTTCTTTTATGACATGCTGAACCATGTTGCTGATGGTAAGTTTCATCTAATTTGTTTCATCCAGGAAACCTTTTTTGTGCAGAAGTTCTAATTTAAGTTGTTTTAAAAATAGTCTTACATTGTATTCTGTGCCCCTTTAGATAGCTATAACCAATATTTTTGCCGATAAAAACAATTATTATGGATAATTTCCTCATTAATGTAGAAGTACTCTGAATTTTTGCATTGGAATTTGCGGTGAATCTGATTGTGTGTCAATGTATTTGTTTTATAGGTGAAAATAATGCTGTGGATATTTTACGCAAGGGTTCAGCAAGTAAGTGGGTGTTATGTTCTTGTGATGAGAGTAATTTTCAAAATGGAAGAAGTAGCTAAATGGTTTATCTCATAGTCACTATTGTCATTAGAGGAGTTGCATACGCTGTCAGAATTCTAAGTGTCTAAAGAGGGGAACAAACCCAAACTACAAAGGCAAAAATGAGTTTATATATATGTTGTGTGAATCACCAGAATTTGTAACCTTCTTAGTTACAAATTCCTATTTGGAATATAGGGATTGCCATTCACCCTTTAACCAACAAGAGTGCGACTTACATCTAATTTCTCCTTACAATGACACCATTGGATCAAACATCAAGGTCACGAGAATAAAGGACATGATCACCAATTAGTGCAGTTCTTGATTGTTACACAAATTCTCCTTGTCAGCACCTTTGGAAATCTATAGAGAACAGTAAAGAGAATATGCATACTGATGTTAGAGTGCAGAGGGTTAAGACAAGGAAAACTGTTCTTGATAATGAGGTGCTCTATTAACCTGCTTTTATTAGTCCTCTTGCAATTATTCCTGGACAACATTTCTGGTAGGTGCAGATATTTTGAGGCCTTGGCTGTTAAGCATTACTTTGGTTATTAATGATCATCATAATTTTTTTTGTATCATGTTGTTGTCTCAGGCAGTTCTACATCCATAGCATCAAAGACATCAGAGAAATTAGAGATGCTCACTGATCCATCAAAGATAACAGTTGACGAAACTTACAGGGGACCTCATGTTGCACTGCCACTTACACTTCTCACTGTTCACAAAATCATTGAACACTTTAAGTCTCGCAAGGTTGGTACAACACCACTGAAAACTAAATAGACTGTCTTAACTCTAAACCTCAACTCTTGATTCCCAAGAATCAATAATTAAGCTATAACGTGCAAGGTTCAAGTTTGAATTTTTCTTGAATCAGGTGTTGAGAATTAGGCATTAAGTTTCAAGATGTTTAAAGAACTTTTTGAGGATCTTGATCTAAATTTTTCAGGGAGCAATTTAATTCTCTCTATAGAAACCAATATTTATCATTTTTACCTCAGAAATCTTTGTCTTGTTGAGACTGATCTCTCTGGTTTTAAATGAGCCACCTTCAATTTCTTATTGTCCTTTGGGTTTTTGACAGCTCCTTCATGTTAAGTATGTCCTCCTCATTCTTCGAGAGACGAGGGAAAAGCTCAAGGTATTACCAAACATCTACAGGGCTTCCACAAGCATCTCCAAACAGATAACCATATGTGGTGAGAAAGGGATTAGAATGTTGCTTCCTAGTTTAACAAGCCACTCATCAGAATGGACTGTTTTCTTGTTGTAAGGACCAAAGGATCCAAATTTCTCTGATGTAAATTTACCCAAGTTTATTGCTGTAGAAGTCGTTACTTCAATTGAATATGATTTACAATAGCATGCAATTAACAATGTTTGTATCAGTAACACAACAACCAAACAACTGCTATTACACAGAACATTCCAAGTCATGGGGGTCACATGATCTAAAGGGTAGGAAAAACTGGTGATCAGGGAACCCATCTACCACTTGTTACTTACCTCATATGTCCCAGAAAGGGCTGTAGTTCCTGATCAGCCTCCCCCTCCTCTCCCCAGATCTCCCTTCTCCTCCCCTATGACATAGATGCTCTGGTGAAATTAATGGAGGTTTATATGTAGTGATACATATGTATCAAATGCTGTTTCTCTGAAGGGTGTGCTATTTTGCTCTCAGGCTCTGATCTGGGTTAGAAAGAAATATAAAGTTAAAAATGAATGCTATTCTGACTTTCAACAGGTGACCTCCATGGGAAACTGGATGATCTGTTTGTGATTTTTCACAAGGCAAGCGCTGCAAACTGTTATGCACTCTTTTGTAAAATAAGATTTAATCAAAAAGAACTAAATTAGATTTTAGTAGTGGCTCTTCCACAAAGATCTTAGGGGGTGTGGTGGTGGGAGAAGTGGAGGAACTTGGAGACAAGCTTGTTGCTAGGATGAGAGCTAACAACAAACTGACCACATGTGACTTCATGTCCATGAATTGAACCCTTGTAGCAACAGGGGGAGGCAGGCACTTTACCATGGTGACTGCACCATCCTTGCTCTCCAGCCGGGGATCCATTCACAGTTCATCCAAACATGTTATGTTCCCTTTTGACCACCCTTCTTTATCCTCCTGTCTGTGTTATCAATAACTTTGCTATTAGTTCATTTGGCAATAGACTGCACACGGGATGTTTGGAAGAACACGAGGAAAGTTTGTAAATCATTCACCTCTGGCTTGTGAAAAATCACACATCCTTTTCAAATTTTTCTCATGTTCTCCCAACATTCTGTGTTTACACTGGTAATCAAACCAATAGAAAGTGTGTTCTATGTGGAATCCAATGTGGATTACAATGTTTTGATTCCATGCTGCTGGTCTTCTTGTGGCAGTAAGATTGACTGGTTGTGCATTACTTAGGGAGGCATTATGCTCCTTTGTGACTAATTGGTTTTGAGCACCTGTGATGATTTGTACTCTTAGCACTGTTCTGTCAGACTGCTCTAACAGATTTCTTACAGAATGTTTGGTTACCAGGAATCAGTTTGCCATTTACACTCACTTAAATTCATGTTCATGAATTTTGTCCTTGAATATTTATTTATGCTCTTTTTTTTTGGTATAGAATGGTCTTCCTTCTGCTGAAAATCCTTACATCTTTAATGGTGACCTTGTGGATCGAGGTCCTTACTCCATTGAAATTGCCATCATTTTATTTTCATTTTTCCTGCTTTATCCCACTGGTGTTTACATTAATCGTGGTAATCATGAGGATCATATAATGAATCTCAGGTATGTGGACAAGGCATGTATGCTAGAAGTTGCATATAAAGGAGCTTAAATTGCCTGGGGAGTGAGCTTTTGGAGACACAGTGGTATGACAGTTAGCATGTCAGACTCTGGGTCAAGAAGTCTGGTTCAAGCCCTTGTGTTGTGTTCTTGGGAAAGACACTTTTTAAAGTCTCTCAACCAAGGATATAAATGGGTACCAGGCAAGTCTTAGGGAAACCTGTTGAAGTGCTGGTACTAACTTGCAATGGACTATAATGAGTTGCAAAAGTAGTTGGCACACCTCCCTCTAAGAAGGCGATCAATAACCCTACACCGTAGGACTGTATAAGGACTTAATTTGCTCTTATATATTAAATTTGATATAATTAGTTATATAGCTGATAAGCTTATAACAGTTGGTAAGGTAAGATGGCAGGCTTCTTCACAAAGTGACAGCTGTTTTCTCCAAAAGGTGCACTATTTTTGATTATAGTTATTTCTAAATTTCAATAGATACGGATTTGTCAAAGAAGTAATGGACAAGTACAAGGTAACTTGCTCAGGCATTGTGGAAATTGTATTTTGAATTCATAGTCATACACTACAGAAACTGGACTAAATTCCACTAGTTATGGTAGCTGGGAAAATGGTTGGTGAAGCTGAAAAATTCAGGCCTTAATGGGATTCAAACCTTTGCCTCCCTGATACTAGTTGGGAGCTACTAACAACAGAGTTACAAAGTTACATGTTGGGAACAAGGCAAATTTGAGAGGGTTCTCCCTTGTAAAGGAATCTTTTTTTTTCAGTCTCTGGAGCTTGCAATTGGCTGCCTTCTTTATCATCAAATAATTACTAATTAAAAATACCTGCTTGACACACAGACTGCTCTCAGGCCAGACTCTGTTAAACCTTCAGTTTTGCTTTGACCCATTAAGTATCACTAATGTTGTCTTGGCAGGAACATTCTTCAAAAGTCATGAGGTTGTTTGGAGATATCTTTGGGTGGCTTCCCTTAGCCACAGTGGTGAACAACAAAATTCTTGTCACTCATGGAGGAATATCTAATATTACAGATTTGTCACGTATTGATAAAATTGACCGTCACAAGGTTTGTACCCAGTTCTCTGTTCTATCTGTTTCTCATCAATCAATGTGAAAGGTTATTTCAGACTGTTAGTTACATATTTGAACACCCACAGAGGGTTTAGTATTCATAGTCTAGAGACAGAATAAAAGCAATTAGTTGTCTAATGCTATCACAGTAGTAGTATCATCAACTCCAAGAAAGGTTTTCTTTCTTGGAGTACATAGCATTTGCTATGTACACTCCAAGGAAACGCAGAAAGCACATAAAAGTACCTCTAGGCCTATTTTTGTACACGTTAAACATTTTATTTATTAAATTGACACTTTGCTGTTGCCATCATGGTTGCATAAGGTCACTAATAATTCTGGCTGTGGCACTGGTGGTGATCATAGCCAAAATGGTTTTGGTCAGTGGCAATGAGCAGAATGTCAAAAAGAGTGGCATTGGTAGAAGTGACTTCTGTACAATAATGACAGCATGTATTGATGATAAAAAAAAAATAATGAACATTGATCTTCTGTTAACTCTAATTTGTATAATCTTCTTATGATCAGTATGTGTCAATACTCAAGCCCCCGGGCATGGACAAAACACAACCAGATACTGTTGATCTAATGGAGTGGAGACAGGTAACTTTTCCTCTTCTTTAGGTTACACTAAAAAAGATTTATTTGCCACACCTTTCATGAGAGCAGTATGGTTAATAAACTTATTAACTTGAATCTGTAACTCAGATTATCACCATCTTTTTGTCCTTTACTTCTGTCAAGTTAGCCCATCTGAACAATACTAAGTGCAGCTACTGGGACCAGGTTTTGGTCACGTTGCCCCACCCTCTGCTGATGAAATTATGTTGAAATTTCTGGCCGCTGTGTATTTTGAGAGTATTCTCACTTATAAGGCATTCTTTTAGTTTAGTTTCAATCTCTGCAGTTCCTTGTTATGCAAAAGAATTGATTAATATATAATTATGGTTTTTACCTGAAGGTGTTGGATCTGCTGTGGAGTGACCCCAAACCCCTCCCTGGTTGTAAACCAAACACTTTTAGAGGAGGGGGCTGTTACTTTGGTCCAGACATCACAGACCGCATCCTCAAGAAACATGATTTGGAGCTTCTTGTGCGTTCTCATGAATGTAAATTTGAAGGATATGAATATATGCATGGTGGAAAGGTATTGCATATATTAGATAAAATATATTCATAAATACCTGAAATGCCTTCTTCTGGTTGAGATTTTTGAAAAAAAAATGCACCTGTCTTAAGGCTTGCAGTCAAAAGAAAAGTAAGCATATTTTATAGCCCGAGAAAGCTTTCTTATATGCTTAACTACAATTTTTAGTCCTGTCTCTCTTCTATCTTCTTGGAAGAAAATGCTTTCCTCATTGTAAGCCAGCGAGTTATAATGTGTTAAACAGATTGCTTATAGGCTATCATTGTGAACTTTTGGTCAGCACATGTTCTCTTGCATAAAACACTTGAATTTTCACAGCACCTCCCAGAAGTGGACATGGCTTCAAGCAAACTGTTAGGAAAATTCTTTATTAATGGAGTGTAATCATTTGTCTCACTATGAAGGCACTTCCATTGTGGATAATTTGCAGCAATGTTTCCATTTCAAACACTAAGTCTTCAGGCAATAAGGTCAACTGGATATGTGTCACCTTGTAAAGGGTTACTCCCAGCTGTGGTTGGCTGGTATAGCTTTGATTGGCACACCTCAAATATATATTCTCTCCACAGTCTCATGTCGCATGGCTCTCCTGTTGTTGTGTTGTTTGATGGAAAAGGGAAAATATTTGGAGAGGGAAGAGGGGGCTTCCAATGCTAAGCATCCTATCCAATACTAGTCATCACTTGTAAGAAAACTAAGATAAGTTGTTGTGGTTATAAGCATCTATGTAACTCAAAAATATTTCTTGTAGGTCATAACAATATTCTCAGCATCAGATTACTATGAGCAGGGAAGCAACAGGGGTGCATATATGAAGATTGGACCTGATATGAAACCTTACTTTGTTCAGTATCAAGCTTCCAAAGCTAAGAAGCATCTCACCCTGAAACAAAGGTCAGTACCAATGATTGTAATCATTGTTCTTGCGGGAAAAAGAGGCTGGCAATTTCTTTAGCAACTATTAACTCCCTCTGGTATTGTGTCAAATACCCCAAATTAGCACCTGGAGTGATTATTTCAAATGTTTTGGTTGGGAAAGGCAGAGCCTAGTTGAGGAGAAGCACCTATTCACTTCTTCTCACATCACAGGAGATGGTTTTGTTTATTGTTCCACTACTATACCATTTTACTGTTAAATATTAGGGTAACAGAATGTGCAAAATACCCTTCTGTTTAACCGGGTACATCATCAAATTGCCTCTTTTTATTTCCAGGATTGGAATAGTAGAAGAGTCTGCAATACGAGAATTAAAGGAAAGGCTTTATGCCAACAAGATAGCTTTAATGGCTGCCTTTGAAGAAACAGACAAGGAAAAAACAGGCAAGTTAAAAACTGAGATCAGGGAGCATGAATAAAAGCTTCAGTGAACTTCCTCCTCATCTCACCCCACCCCCAACAGACACATTATTCTTTTCCTTGGTAGAGCAACAAGGGAAATTTAGAGAGAACATTATGGAGAATGTGCATAATGATGTTAGGGTGTGAAGGGTTAGTAATATTCTTTAAAAGTAATATTGGGTGATTTTGAGCATTGCCTTGATGTAAGACATAATTGGGCCATTTCCTTTTAGGATATTTGACTGCAACTCAGTGGGCAACTGCTGTGGAGAGTGTGTTGAAATTAGACGTACCATGGAACATGTTGAGACATCAGCTTGCCCATGTTCTGCCAGATGGAAAAGTGGATTACCGTTCATGCTTTGATCAGTATATCATTGAGACAGGACTACACAAGGT